CACTCATGCACTTTCTCTTTTTATCATTCAAAGATCATCTATATATCATATAGAAGCCATCCAAACCCATGTTACACTTCTGTAACACCATCTTCATCATCCTCTAAACTCCATATCCGAGCTTGCACATTGACTTGGTTGGATTGATTCAACAACTTTCAAAGCAAATTATTCATCCCATTAGCTCAAGGAAGATCCCAACAAGCTTAATCTATCATTACATTACTTCTGGAAGTCGTGTAAAGGGCATTGGACTTTTCTTCTAGAGGTGAGTTTTCTCAAACTGTGATATCCTTATCCATGCAACATTTGCATTTGATTTCAAAAGATAAAATGTAGATATCAATTTCCTGAAGCTAACCATGTGATTAGTTTTCATTTATGTTGCTTGTGGAGTGAGAATCGAAGCTCTGACCAGTTAGGGTTCATTTTTGGTACTAAGTAAAATTCTTTTTTTCTTTGAGTATTAATTAAAATTAATGGCATGGTTGAATTCGTAGTGAAATTTAGAACAACTTTCATGTTTATATTTTATAAAATGATTGAGAAATGGAAGAGTTTGATATTCAAAAATGGTGATGTTGTTGTCTGCCGCGAGGAAGAAGAAGAAATGGGCATTTCAAATTTTTGAAAACAACTTTATAATATATTTACTAGGGGGCGTTTCACAACCGGATGAAATAGCCACCCCAGTGGTAAAATAAGCGTGCTATGACCTGAGGGACCTGGGTTCGAGCTCCAGTGATACCCTTTTATTTTTCACATATTTGTTCCTTGCAGATTCAGCGCAGGCAAGCCATATACGCGCGACATGCATCCTCATGTTACAACCATTAGATCTCATCAAAGGCATATCCAATGCACCAAGCGCAAGCCCCGTGATGCACCTCCTGGAGGTCACCTCCACTGGATCTAGCGCAACATCCTGGGCTTGTCTATTATGGACCTAACATTTTTGCTTCTTCTCACCCCCCAAATTTTTTATACTGCAGGCCCATTTTAATTTCTTGTTTTTTTGTTTTAATTAACATTTTCTTTTCTTTAACCAATTTCATTTTTTATTTAATCAACAAAAATCATAAAATTTTAAAAAAAAATATATATTTAAGTTTTTAATTGATTAATTTAATTTTTGATAATTAAAATTAATTTAATCTAATCACCTTGTTTTATTTTAATTGATTAGTTTGTAAATTAACTAAGAATTAGATTTTATTTTTATTAATCACTTCCAATATTTTTCTAATAAAAAACATCAAAAAATTATTTTCTAGACACTTAGAAAAAAATTTAGCGTGTTGAATTTATTTACCTTTTCACTATCTTCGCGTGTTTGTTTATTTTTCGCATTAATACAATTATGTAACTGTTAAAGGATGTAATAGTTTAAATTAGGGTTTTCTTTTACATTTCTCCCCATTTTTATGGTATGTATTCCCCATCCTCGAAGCTTTGTAATAGCGTAGAATATTTAATTTCCGCAATTACTGATTTCCTTATTATTTTAGTAATTAGGATTTGTATGACAAGATTTAAAATCAATCATTAAAAAAACCTAATTCCAAGACAAGATACTTGAAATCAAAACACTTCGCACCCACACACCTCTAGGGTGACCCTCACTTGTTGCCTCGGATTTAAACAGTCATGTCCCTCAAACGTGGGATACTTTAACAAAGACCCTCGGTTAGAAGATCGTAGTCCCTCGATGATCCTTTGATGCTGCCTTCGATAAACGATCTTAGTCCCTTATGAAAATTGCTAAAGCATCCTACAAGTTGTCTTCTATGATTGTACGATGACCCGTGCATGTGTCTCACATCCAATGATAGGGCTTCCTACTAACTAATGGTATGATAGCACTATCTAAAGGAGGATTAAGAGAACAAAGACTTTTTGAGTAGGTAGATCGCTCGTAATCGCTTGCTCACAAACTAAAACAATTTTCACACCTCACACTTTCAAAACAACTACTTTCAAAAACACTTTATAAACACTCTTGAGGACTGATACAAGGGATATTATAAAGCAGACTGTCATACATTGGTATCTTCAAAACACTTTTCACAAAATAACACTTTTTCGATAAATATTTTCGAAACAAATATTTTGTATACATTCTCAACGATACGAGAATCATTACAAAATTGCTGAACTTAGGCATTTTCAAAATATTTTCAAACATACACAAACACAAAGTATTTTCAAAGTGAGCTAGCAATTAAGAGCTCGTAGATAACTACAGATGAAAAGGGTGCTAACACCTTCCCTTTTATAACCTATCCTCCTTACTCAGAAAATTCTCAAAAGGTCTTTCTTGTTCTTTTCACCCTTTCCTTTATTGGATAAAAGAAAAGTCGGTGGCGACTCTTACTATCTGCAAGATTTGCGATAAAATACAAAACTCAAAAGTCAGTTATCCCACCGTATTACAACGCCCATTGAAATACACCATCAACGAATATACTTCGATCACACACATCAGAATCATCAAAACCGCCATCAGGCACAACTACTTGTATACTCAGAGGGTTATACATCTTTCTTTGCACACTTTAATTTAATATGCATTAAGGATTTATTAAAGCTGCAAAACATGCCTACGGAACAAATCAAATTTTCACCTTTAGTACCCTAATCTTTTTCAATCCTGGTACGTTAATAGTTCTAAGAGATCTAGGATTAGTACCTTTAGACCTTCTTAGTTTTTTATAATATAATATCTCTAAGTTTTCAAAACTACAAAACAGACATTTATAAATAGCGTGATTTTATTTCTTCCTATTTGAGCTTTTACTATGTGATATACTTGATTTAAAACTTAATCTAGTTTTATTGAAAGAAGGTCTTTGATTTGATAAAATCAAATCTAGATTTTCTTTTCCTCTTCATAAACTTACTTAGATTTTCTTGCAAAATTTTCACTTTTTTTTCATCGATACACAAGTCTCATATTTATTAGTTTGGTTTCTAATATTAATCATCTTATGAGAACTAATATATTATATGAGAAACGAGAACTATCGATATCAAATATCAGATTTAATTAACGCTAAAGATTTAATGATTTCATATAAAGAACACTTTATAGAATCTTTTCTATTATTCTTAATATTTACAATTTTCATAAAAATAGAATCTTACAAAAATATTATCAATATACTGTTTAATTTTTTATCAAACATATCAATTTTAATTTTTCCATATTCTCTCATACTTTTTTTTCAAACTCTCTTTGATTCTTTATATTTATTGCAAAAAAAATCATATTCTATATTTTTTATTGTTTGGGAGTTTTTATATTATTTATTTTACTAAAATAGATATGACTTTAAAATAGACTTGCTTAATTTATTTATTTATCACCTATGTATTCATTTATTAAAAATATTGAAGAATTTGAAATTATTACATATTTTTACTTTGGCTGATTTTTTTATTTACAAGTTAGGAAATTATTAGTTTAGCAAGTTCTACTTAATAAAAATACATTATTGATTTATCATCTATATTTTTATTTGATTAAAGGTATTTCTTTTATAAGAAAAAATATTTTCATTTAATTTATCACTTATATTTGATTAAAAATATTCAAAAAATGTGAAAGTATTATCAATATTTTAATTTGATTGATTTATTTATTTGCATGTTTGAAATTTTTTTTACAAGTTTTACCATTGTGACTATTTTAATGATTTATACAATTTTTATAATATTTTAATAATTGCGACCCTTCTTAGCTATTGGTGAATTGGAATTTTTAAACTTTTTTTTTTAAATAAAATTATCATTCTTGCAAGAATGAGATATATTTTTATATACTACTCGCAAAAATGATAATTTCAAAAAAAAAAAATATTAAAATTAAAATTTATTGTTTGTTAATATCCAAAAGATTTCACAATTATTAAAATATTATAACAATAGTAAAATTTATTTAAAATAGTCACTAGGGTAACATTTGTAAAAACAAATTGTAAATAAATAAATCAATCAAATTAAAATATAAGTAATACTTTCACATTTTTTCAATATTTTAAATCAAATATAGGTGATAAATCAAATGAAAATATTTTTTTTATAAAAAAATATTTTTAACCAAATGAAAAATTTATAACTTGCAATTAAATAAATAACCAAATTAAATTATAGATAATAATTTCACAATCTTCAATATTTTTAATCAAGTAAAAATACAGGTGATAAATCAATAATGTTTTTTTTTAAATGTTATAATAGTAGAAGATGAAAATTTTAAAAATTTCTAAAGAATTAATATAAAAAATCTTTAACAATACAAAAATATAGAATATAATTTTTTTAGTAAATTATAATATTTGGAACTTACTAATAATACAATAAATAATAATAGCAAAAAAATTGTATATTTTAGACAATAATATTTTAATAAAATAAATAATATCAAAATTTTATAACAATAAAAAATATGATTTTCTTTTGCAATAGATATAAAGGATCAAGAGAGTTTTAAAATAATTGTATGAGATATCATGGAAAATTTAAAATGTATATGTTTATTGTAAAATTAAATAGCATACTGAAAAATATTTTTGATAAGATTCTATTTTTATGAAAATTTTAAATATTAAAAATAATAGAAAAGATTCAATAAAATATTCTTTATATACTATTTCTTAAAAACTCAATATAATCGTTAAGATCTATATTTCTCTTTTCAATCTTATTATATTCTTCAATAGTATTTCTCATTTTCTTCTCTTTCACAATATTATACATAAAAAAATAAGAGTTACTGCATTAAATTTTATCATGTTTAATTTGAATGAATGATAGAGATGTTATTTTTAATAGTTCTAACTATTAAATTTATATATAAAAAATTGTGTCTTTTTCATGTGTGCCATATATTGTCACCTACTATATTATATTAACTACCATCCTCTCAAACAAGGGTTGACTTGCAAAAAAGACAATAATATAAAAGATTGCAACACTGATTGCAAAACTAAAACATTGGCAAATCTCCAAACTTTGACACAAAATTAGAATCTTTAAGATCAAATCCCTCATCAAAAGAAAATGAAGCAGAAGACAAAAGCACTTGTGATTGGATTAATTGGTGCAGCTTTTACTTTACTTGCTTACTCACAAACCTTCGTATCACCAACTCAAAGCATCACAATTGGACTCCTTATTCTCATGTTGGGATTCCTAGTAGGAGAAGGTTTCATATCTCTTTGATTCATCATGCTTTTCTTTTTCTCCTTCAATTTCCACCTTCATCTATATCCATGAATTTTACATGTTTGTGTGTAATAACTCTTTAATGGGATATTTTTTATTTTTGTAATTTTTTTCTTCATATTTTGAGTTTGTGTTAGGTGTATGAAGGGTTGATGGAAAAATATTTATATTTGAACTCATGTATTATATTTCATTTGCTTATTTTCTTTTTATATATAATTGAAGGGTAATAATCACTAAAACCTCATGTACACAACTTTGAATTTGAGTTAAATATTGTTATACGAAGGGTTGAAGGAAAAATTATTTATATTTTGAGCTTATATATATATATATATATATATATATATATATATATATATATATATATATATATATATATATATATATATATATATATATATATATATATATATATATATATATATATATATATATATATATATATATATATATATCATGAAATAGAATTTGCATACTATTTAATATGGTGGACTATTATATAACTTTTTTATTCATGAAAAATATATAATTATTTTATTAGTAGCATTTATGACCACTGAATTTGGTCAAACAATTCTAAAAGCTATTGGTATTCTGAAAAGACAACATCTATTTTGCTTCTAATTCAATGAATAGCAGTGACAACAAGAGAATAACAAGGTTAAGGTAAGGTTAAGTAAATTCTCGTCTCTAGTTGGTTAACTAACTTTATATATATTAAGAAATTAATTTATTAATATTTTTGGGTTATAAATATAACATTTAAGAAGTTAGTGTCATTATTTTGATTTGTCATTATTAATATAATATTAAATTTATGGTTAAAAATATAAATATCATAAAAAATCATTTTATTGAATAGATAATATAAGTCAATATCTAATTTGATAATGGATTGAATTATAATATAGAATACTAAAAAATAATTCTAAGGTAATTTCAAGGGATTATGGTTCATATTTGTAGACAACGCAAAACGGCTTATCAGAAATTCTCTCTTCATATAAGAATCAATGAGTCACAAGGGACTCTATCAATCGGAAGATCAAATACCCGCAAATCTTCTATGATTCTTAAAAATAAATTCAGATATGTTTCCGCTTTTATTCTAATAATTGTATTCAGATATGGATTTAAGAGACTTATTAAGCTCCTCTTCTTAATTTTTATATCGATAAAAATTATAAAGTTTTTAAACAGATTTAACCAGTGATATCAAGAGTCATTAATATTTGATTCAATTTGATTTTAGAGTTATTTAGAATTCTTTAATTTTATAATTATATAAATAAATATTTTTCAAATTGTTAATAACGTATTTTAAGATTTTTTTTTATATTAGGGTTTTAAATTGGAACCCTTTGATCTTCTTTTTGTGAAAAGATTTTCAAGTTTTATTCCACGATTCGAAAAAATTTTGTGCCCAAATCAAATAATTTATTATAAGTTCTATTTTAATTATATTTTACAATTTAGATGTTGATTGCTAGTTTTTCTCATAATTATTTTGCAAAAGAAAATGTTCTGGACTGGGCCCGACAGGCCCAAAAGCATTACTAAGGCCCAGTCCAAAGGGACTCACTAGGGACCACACTGGGCAAAGGGGGTCACGTCCATGCCCGACACCCTGATGTCCACCTCGACATCCCGAGGTCTAAACCCACGCTGTGAAGTCGTGCTCGACACCCTGCCGTCAGCTCCATGTCCTGGCGTCCAGCTCGACACCCGCTGTCCAGCTCGAGGTCCTGGCGTCGAGCTCGGTACCGTGCTGCCCAGCTCGACATGGTCTCGAGCTACCCGGCCAGGGCAGACTCAGTCCACCGTTCCCCCAACGATACTCCGGAAAGACCGCGTCTCCGTCCGCCCGCATTTCACGCAGCACATCCAGGAAGGGGACCACGTGCGGGTCCCCACTACCCACGTAGAACCTGGCAGTTCCTCCATTGGGCCCAATCCGCCCGGCCCAATGAAGGAACCTTGGCCCAGCGCTGGGGGCTATAAATACCCTCTGTTTCCAGAGGGTCAGGTATTCATCATTCTAACCTCAACTCTATTATCTGCTCGTACTCCCACTGACTTTAGCATCGGAGTGCCTTGCAGGTACCCCCCCCCCCCCCCCCCTCCTCGTTCAAAAAGCTTTCAGCTCGGAGCAAGCCGTGACGGTCCAAACCTCCTGATCAGGTCAGATCAGTGGCGCCGTCTGTGGGAAAGGAGCGACGAGGACGACCCCCGCGGTCCCCTGTCGCAGGCCATCATGGACGCACCTATTCCCCCGGGCATGGAGAAGCCCCCACATCTGAAGGAATATGATGGAGTAGCAGACCCAGTCGACCACATTGACGGGTTCGAAGCCATGCTCCACTATCACAATGTCGGGGGGCCCATCAAGTGCCGTCTCTTCCCCACAACTCTCAGGAAGGCGGCCACGGACTGGTATAAAGGACTCGCCCCGGGCTCCATTACCTCGTGGCGGAACCTGAAGAACCAGTTCATCAGTTCCTTCACAGCTTCTCGGCGCCACCCGAAGACCGAGGCAGCCCTCGAGGCCATCATCCAAAGACATGATGAGACCTTGAGGGAATTCATCAACCGCTTCAACCGGGAAGCAATACAGGTCCCCTGCGCGGACCATATGAAAAGGTACTTGCTGGAGAGGGGCCTCCTCCCCGGCACAGAATTCAGAAAAGCTGTGGGCATTGAGCCACCTGCAACTTTTGATGCTCTCCTCGACAAAGCCCGAGCATACATGGACTACGAGGAGAGAGAAGCTGCCAACAGGGCACGAGACTCCAGGGCTCGCAATCATAGCAGCAGTTCGAGACAAGACCCTCCTCCCCGACGTACCGGAGAGAAGAGGAAGGAAGATCGACCCCGGGAGGTCCGGGAACAAAGGGGCCCCTCGGGCCGTTTCACCGAGTACACTCCGCTCACGGCTTCCCGCGAGCGTATTCTGGCGGAGTGTGCTAGCACAGATTTTAAAGACGGTGGCGTCAAGCGTCCCCGGCCAGCTCCTGCCAAGCCAGGAGTGGACAAAAACAAGTACTGTCAGTACCATAGGAGTCATGGTCACTTGACAGAGGACTGCGTCCACCTGAAGGACGCCATTGAAACCCTCATCAAAGGAGGGAGACTTGCACAGTACAGGCGAAACGACGCTCCCCGTCGTGACGCCCGCGAGATAAAGGAGCCCGAAGAAGATGCCCGACCATCTGACGAGTCGGTGCCAATCCAGACCGCCTTCTCGGTAACCAGGCCCGAGGATTTCGAACTTCCCGAGCTCCTGCAGGAGCCCCTGACGACACACAGCAGGTGGGAATACTTCCCCTCCGCCATGGTCATCAACGGGGGCGGGTTCAACGACCTCACCATCAACTCAGCCAAGAGGAAGTTGGACGAACTGGTCGACAAAGCTCCTCCACAAACTGTGACTTTCGAAATAGTGAAGGGCAGATCAGAGTCCATCACCTTCTACTTGGAAGAGCTCCCCGGCGGAGCACCGAACGCAGTCATCCCCTTGCTGATAAGGGCAAAGATGGCCAATTTTGACGTGCATCGCATCCTGGTCGACGAAGGGAGTTCCGTCGACGTGATGTACACCCAGCTGTTCCGGACCTTACAACTGGATGACTCACATTTGTCTCCGTATATAGGTTCGGACCATCAAGGCTTCAACGGCTCGACTTCCAAACCTTGGGGATATGTCGAGCTCCTCGTGACGTTCGGGGAAGGAACTGCTACAAGACAGGTGAAGGTCCGATTCCTCGTCATTGACTGCCCGTCCCTATACAATTGCATCTTGGGGAGGCCGACACTGGCGGAGCTGACAGCGGTTCCCTCAACTGTCCATCTAAAAATGAAGTTCTATACCAAAAGGGCAAGGGTAGCCACCATCCAGGGCGACCTCGCTGCTGCCCGCAGGTGCTTCAACGCCGCTTCAAGGGGACGGGATACCGTCGACGTGGGTACCAGCACCAGACCCATCAAGAAGACAAAGCAAGAGCCCGACAGAGCATCCCCCGAGGTAGAAGTTCAGAAGGCTCCACCAAAGGTCGACTCCATAGCCCTCGACGCCCGCTTCGACCAAGACGAGCCATCCAGCAGCGAGCAAATCCCCCTCCGACCCATTCCGGACGGCGATTTTGAACTCGTTCCCTTCGGAGCAGACCCGACCAAGGGAGTGAAGATTGGCAAAGACCTCCCTGACTTGGCCAGGAAGCAAATCAAGGCTTGTCTGCGCGAGAATGCTGACCTCTTCGCCTGGAGCGCTGCAGAGATGCCCGGACTCGACCCTGAGGTCGCCTGTCATCACCTCGCCATTGATCCAGCCGCCAAGGCCGTAGTACAACGTAGGCGTAGGCAGTCTCCAGAAAAAACGGAGGCTGCTGAAAAAGCTGTAAAAGACCTCCTAGAGGCAAATTTTATTTCTGAAGCCCGGTATTCCACTTGGCTGTCAAATGTTGTACTTGTCAAAAAGAATAATGGAAAATGGAGAATGTGTGTTGACTATACCGACCTCAACCGGGCTTGCCCGAAGGATGCTTTTCCTCTACCTAACATAGATATGCTGGTCGACAATTCGGCCGGCTACAAGACTTTGTCGTTCATGGACGCCTACTCGGGATACAATCAAATCCCAATGGCCCTGGGCGACAAACGCTGCACGGCGTTCATGACCAGCTCGGGCAACTATTACTACAATGTAATGCCCTTCGGACTCAAGAACGCCGGCGCGACGTACCAACGCATGATGAACAAAGTGTTCAACAAACAGATCGGCGACATGCTCGAGGTATATATGGACGACATGATAGTCAAATCTCGAGCAGATACCGATCACGCAGCTCACCTCAAGACAGTCTTCGCCCAAGCAAGACAATGCAAAATGAGGTTCAACCCCGAGAAGTGCACGTTTGGGGTTAAGGCAGGGAAATTCCTCGGATTCTATCTAACAGAACGAGGGATTGAAGCCAACCCCGACAAGTGTCGAGCATTCGCCGACCTCCCGACTCCAACGTCGAAGAAATCGATACAGATCATGAACGGCATGTTGACGTCACTATCACGCTTCGTCGCGAAGTCC